GGACATCCCGTTGTGCGTGGAGGCAAAACAGACGTGGCATGCTACTGCTGCAGTGCTGCATGCTACTGCTACAATTATGCTATACTTCGTATAGTAATTAACAATGTGTCTTTTTTTTCAGAAATTAAAGATAGAATGGGATATGAAAGAGAAAATCCACCTAGATACATTTTGTTCCGTCATTTTAAACAATTCCAATGCACCATTAAATAACGCGTGGACTCGATCGGCCCCAATCAGTCTAGCCAACGAACCATGTCAGAGCGTTGATAGCATCATCATTGAATTCAACCTGCTTTGAATCGATGAAATCCTTTAATGGAGCAAGCATATGGAGGCAATGCCAATGAATTAAGCCCCTGTTATGGAGTGAATGTGGGAAAACAGTTTTGTGATGAGTTTTCACTGTTTAAACATGTTAGATAGCTTATTGTCACACCGAGGAAACATGAAGCGTTTGCTGTTATCAATGACAATTTACAGACATTTTTTTTAATCCCAATCTACACGTTTACATGTTTGGTTGCGTTATTTTGATTTGTTTTGAATCGCTTCAAGCTCAGAAAATTCATTCTGAATTCCCTACGGAAATTTCTATATCTGTGCGTGTGTGTGAGTGTATATGTAACATATAACCAAAATGTTAGTTTCGACAATGCCCTATTCTTCGAGCTTAGTGAAAAGGGTGTGTCCTGCCCAGACAATGCAAAGTAAATTTTGTATTTCATCGGAAATCTTTAAAACAGCGGTCAACCAAACAATGTAATTCTTTTGGTGACCTATCGAAAATGCCGTAGGATGCAATATTAGAAAACTCAGCAGGGCATGCGTGTCAAATTATTTGCGCATTTCTTAATTACAAATTCGTCCTTACATTATGTTCTTACGCAGCATGGGTTTTATAGTACGAGTAAATTTATTTTATATGCATAAACAACAGTTGCCGACAACGAGGTTGCCATAACGCCTTGTTCACTGCTAAAAGCTTTGTTTAAGCATCACAACAACAAGTTGTCAACTTGATTCTCCGCTAGAAAAACATTATGATTACACATACTTTTTTTATTTACTTTCTCGCTTACTACCTACTTACATAGTAAAAAGATAGTACTGAAATAATATCGCTACAGCGGAAAGATTATTGAAGAATATTTTATTAGAAAATTCGTGTTACTACGGTCTAATTGAGAAAAACTGGTTTACGGTATTTACTTGGTTCGTTCGTGCGTGCGTGCGTGCGTGCGTCCGTCCGTCCGTCCGTCCGTCCGTCCGTCCGTCCACAGCAACACGTAAACCGTTCAAACTATTCTCCAAATTTCATATTCCCCGATCGATCGGGGCGAACTCGAGGCCCTGGGAATTTCAAACGGACATTTTGATATTTGGGAGTACTTAATATGAATCTTAACATTTTCAATTTTTTCCTAAAAAAAATTGCTTTTAATTTTTGGCTTACATTTTTTTCTCGGAGAGAGTAAAGGTCGCTTAAAATTAGCGCACGTATCACTTTCGTCGAACTTTGGATTTCGGAAATTGCAAAACTTACAAAATATTAAAGAAAATATGTACCATTGTGGCACCACTGTTCTCTTTCTCTGCAATTGGTTTGTGACGTCATTTATGATTTCAATTATTTCACAAAATAACGAACAATCTTGCATCAGATTTTTATATGATTTCTAAAACCAAACTCCTAAATAATAATTTATTCTTTACATTTTTTATGGAATTCCACAACTCTTTTCCGAGCAGCAATTTTTTTAATCATGAAAAAATCCGAAAATAATATCGTCCATATCCATAACTTTAAAATCACAAAAAGTCCCACTTATCTGTAGGAATACGTTGAAGAGTAATCATATTGAGCGTTTCTCATTTCCTCATACACAGGCGACGGACGTATTACGTGCGCCAGAGATCATCGGAAGGAATCTCAGGCCAACCCGTTTTATGGCTAATTGCCACCTCACACAGCTTGTATTAGCTAACTCAGTTTCGCAACTGTAATTGAGAAGATTGATCAGGCGGTACCGTGAACTCGAAAACAAATTTACAAGTTTCACTTCACATGCTAAACCCCATTAAGCATGTGCTATCCTCCCCACACACACGCACACGGACGACCTTTGTGATACCCTGGCGAATTCCAGCTATCAGAGATGTTAAATAGCAAGACCCTGGCATAAATGGATGTTCATTATCATACATATCAAACATCATATCAACAGGGCATGAAAAGTTTAGAACTAGAGACTGTCTACGGTCTGGGATATATTTTTGCGGTTTACTAAATAGTTTACAGACAATGATAAATAGCAAATTATCATTAAGGTATCAGCAAGCTGAATATTCTTGAAATATATTTCAACAACAAATATACAAAGTATGTCACTTTTTGACAAAATTTATTTGGTAATCAGATCACTTTTCTCGCCGTTGCCCTGTTTTATTACCCAAGAAAAAACATTTTTGATGGTGGCTTCAACCCAAAAAACCTTCATCGTCGCTCTCAAACCGTCAAATTATCCTGTAGGTCCGAACGCGTAATACAAAAGAACAAGATCTGAGCTGAATGAGGAATGTTTCGGGATCTAAAATTTCAGTTTTTAAAAAAAATTAAAGATTTGGGGACGAGCGTTGTCGTAAAGAAAATCCTCGCAATAACAAAAGACCTTTGCTCGGCTTCTTATCGCTGCTTTAGCACCTTCAACACTGCGCTCCTTAGCGTCAATTGTTTCATAATTTCCCTGATAGTGCTCCAAAAGCGGCCCATAAAACGGCTCACGTTTTGAAGCCCTCGGACCATAAAAATTCGTATTAGTTCTCTTTGCCGTTTTTCGGAGGACAGCGCTTAAGGTTTCGCCATTTAGTATCAATTGCCCTTCGCGAGGCATACGATATGTCATCTGTTGGCGTATGTCACCAGATTGTCAAAGCATGGACCTTTCCTTCGCGAGAGTTTCAAATGCCTGAAGAGTTTAGTTCGCGAAATATCGTACATTTGCTGTTACTTTTTGAATTATCTTCGTAATTTTTTTAGAATTTTGGCAGAGCATTTATACGGAAAAATACCACAGTGGAATAGTATATAATGCACAAGAATTATATTCCAAACGCAACATAGATTTTTCAGAAAATTATTTATCAGCTGGCACTGACGTTACGAAAACATCTTAAGTTCCTTGTTGTTTCTTGGTTTTTGACACGAAGCCACTCACATTGGCTCATTTTCAAACGTTATCTATTCTCAGGCGAATAACGGATGAAGCGTGCAAGACCTTTGCGGTGCAGATGGCAGTTTCGCTGAATTTTTGGCAGATAAAGAGAAACATTTTTCTTTTTGAGTACAAAATTATACGGAGCGCGCGAAATATCTTGGCGCCGCCACCAGAAGACTCGCATATTGCTTCATTTGACAGGTGGCGATTCTCGTTAATTTGAAAACAGCGAAGCTTCGATCATCAGAAATGAGTAAGGAATTAATTCGTCACTAGCAATTTCTCGTATTCATTACCAAGCACAGATTCAACCGTTGCATTTGTTGGTACAGTTCGCAACAATGATAGGAGAAATGTTCCGAAAAATTCACGAGAAACACGGACATTAGAGAGCTAAATGAAGTCGTAAGCTCCAACTAGTTTTAGGTAAAAGGACAATTATTTAGTTTCTTCCAAAAAGCGCAACCGAAATTAAGCAGTGTTCCGTCACTAGTGCACCCCCACGTTACGGCCATCCTACCGTGGCTCCTTCAGGACTGCCCCTTTCGAAATGTCTCATTGTTAACCCCGACGAAACCGGTTGTCATAGCCCGGAGTTTCCTCTGCGGCAACACTCAGCGACAGGTCCAAGGGTTCAAGTTCCGAATTGTGGCGGCAGGTCGCTCTGATTGGAAGTTTCCCGAGGTTTCTGTAATTAGTACCAGGCGAATGCCCGAGTGCCCTGACAAACAGATAATTGGACTCGTAGGTCGATCTCTCCTTTCTCATCTTTGTCTCTTCCTCTCCCTTTTTACACACACACACAACTTACATTTACTACATCACTTTTATGTATGTCGGGAGCCTAGAGCTTGCACGAAACGAGGAGGACGGCGTCGGATTTTAAGTTCCAGCGGACAGGTGCAGTAGATTGCCTACGTGGGCTACTCCACACTTTCACTTTTTCCCCCAGAAGGATTGCTGCTCGGGGTGGGCATCAAGGCGATGGCCTTCGCACTTCCATCCGGTGCCCAAAATACCTTCAGGCTGGTGCCCGGATCCCGACTCAACGCAGTTCCCCTTCACGGGAACCTCCTCAATTAAGCCTGGGCGGGGCCACTCTCAGCAAGTAGCAATCAACTGATGTCACTGTAGTCCCTCCGACCGGGAGGTTCCAGGTTCGAGTCCCGACGGTGGCAGGAATTTCGACACTAGCTACATAGCTAGGTCGAATTCAGCCGCTGTCTGAAGGAGAATTCTAACGGCCGGCAGCTCTAATCGGTAATTTTCCATAGTTTCTCCGATCACCACCATACCGGAGCAGTACCCCCGGCCACGGACCCCGCGCGATCTTTCCTTCATCTTCCTTTTCTCCAACCTTACTTACACACACTTACACTTATATGCATTATGCTACCACACATATCGGAACACCGATCGGGAGCTTCGAGCTCGTCCCAACTGTGGCGGTGCCTCTCTGGAGGGAGATACCTGGTTGAGGAAAACCCCACCAGCCGACGATCGGTCGGCACCTGATCTCGCCATAGAGCGGGTAAATACCATCGCCCCCCCCGAGCAAAACATGCAATAGTCTGATGTCCCTAGTAGTTGACGCGCGCAGTTGAATCGCTAGCAACGGATGAATGGAACGGGCGTTGAGGGATGGGGCAACTCACACTGGGGTGGGCGGCGAGGAGCGCGCAGTGGGCGCGGCAGCGGCGCAGCAGCGCGTCGGCGTACTCGGCCGGCGGGTTGAAGTAGCCCGTGGCGAGCGCCAGGCGGCCGCCCGCCGGCGCCGCCGCCAGCAGGCGCGCCGTCACGCGGCTGTCGTGGCGCAGGCCCAGCTGCGCCATCTGCAGCAGCGGGAACACCCACGTCGACCCGCTGCCGCTCGGCGCTGCTGCGCACCACAAGCAAAGCATAACATTATACACGAAAAATACGTACGGTTTTTTTATCGAAAACAAACCCACATGTGCCCTTGATTATTCCAAATGTAATATAATGTAAAAACGTATATTTAAGCAACAAATACCATATACACACACACATTATATATATATATATATATATATATACTGAGAGAGAGAGAGAGACAGGCATCAGCTGTTAAGGTGTCACCCAACGGGAGGTTGAACGTCACCATCGTCGCGTCACTGTAGCGACTTTTAAGCTTCTGATTGGAAGACACCGTAACAGCTGATGAACCGTCAAAGGAAACTTTAAATAAATCGAAATATAGCTATTCTCTGATTTAAACACAGTGGCACTGCAAGGTTACGAGCTGGTACGAGAGGGGTCAGTCATCCAATCGGGAGCTTCGGTGCGACTTAAAATTTTGGTTTTGGAGCTCCCGATTGTGTGACAAAGGTCCCCCTCCACCTCCAGCTCGTGACCATTGAAGTGCCATTTTGTTTAAATCAGAATGTACTACAAAACGACACCACATACTTCAGAACCCAGCCACGATATGACAGATATGATCCCTGTACAAATTGGATACAAAATGTAAAAAAACATTCAATACACACGAAATAAAATTCTGGCACGAAAAATACGTACGGTTTTTTATCGAAAACAAACCCACATGTGCCCTTAATTATTCCAAATGTAATATAATGTAAAAAACGTATATTTAAGCAACAAATACCATAAAGATTGCATATATCAGTTATTTGATGAAGTTCGGTGCTTCAATCCATTCCCCGCCGAAAACTTTCGTTTTCGAAAAAACTTAACATCTTACTCCAAGCCCTTGAGCAATTGAAACGCTCTGCGCTACACGATGCACGCACTGCAGCTGCGATACGCTGTTACTTATTAGCAGGGGCGGATTCCAATTCATTGTGGTTTTTTTCTTTCTTTTCACTTTCGAACAATACCTTTTAGCATTGACAATAATTTTAAGTTATGACAAAACCAAATATCCGATTTTAATCTGCCATTTTTGCATGTTTCGTCTATTTCTACTGTTAAGTCATTTTTTTACCTTTTCCCGACATTTTTAAAACATTATTCTCTGATTTAATTGAGTTTAATATCGTTTTAATTGTACTAGCTACAAATAATATCTGCAGGATGCAACAAATGTTTTTCACAAAATTATTCAGTGGCCTGTTCGATTTCTTCGCTCAGAAATTGTAATGTCAACCGTTGTATGAAGTCTAAGGTTCCTGTGATGCCAAGCAGCGCCATTGTCAGTTTGACCGATTTCGGGATAATTAAAGACAAAGATGGTTGCTTGTAAAGAAGACTTCAATCCAAAAGTTGCGTTCACATAAACTAAAGGAAGAAGCCTCGATTACACCGGTAGCATATCTAACAACTTGAGTTGTTAACTGAACTGGTTTTGATCAATTTGTTACGTCGTTTTGCTTTGCTTTTAGGGTATTTTCAAAACATTTTAAGAGCATTTTATTGATAATTTTTGGCGATGTTTTAGGTCATCAAAATCCGCCCCCTACTTATTAGATTACCTGCAAACTTTCGGAGTGCTCTCCTTTAAAATTTGCCCGAAGTCGGAGGTCGCTCCTCCCCCAACCAACCACTAGGCGGAGTGTGCAAAACAGCTACTGTACTTTTCTCAAAAATCAACATTTTCGTCGGGAAACCAGCAGTACCAAAGTTTGTTGTACAACTACATGACGTTTTGTCGGAATAGTTAAAAGGCATACTGTATAAATATTTATTTAAATTGATAATGGAAATATTGTTAAATTGCCCCCTCGGCAGAAGTCCTGGCTTTTATGGCCAAATGCATTAAACTGGAAGGAATAAGTAGAAATATAGCCTAAAAACAAAATGGTGCAGAGTTTGCCGTACTGTGATGCTCATATATCGGCACATACTCTTAAGCGATAACTACGCGTAACTTGCATCAAAATGCGACAAGGGAAAGTTATCTAAACATGAACGGGGTTGGACTGATACGCAAAACTTTTTGGCTTTGCTCAACTCAACTTTGGCAACACTCAAGTTTATTTGAATATTATTTTTCTAGTTAATATTACGGTTAATAAGTAGGCATTATATTAATTTGCAATGTAAACAATCATTATGATAGCTGATGAGACAATATTTCGTTCTTTTGTTCGTAGCAGGGAGATCGATAACAGTTCCCATATTTCTCCACTGTAATCACTCCCCTCCCCTCGGAAATGATATTACAATGTTGTTTACTATTGGAAACGTGTTGAAAGTATCGATATTTTACAGTGCTTGGTCAAAAGTGTTAACAGGTGTAAAATTAGAAGTTATTCAGAAATGCATCACTTTTTTAAATCAGATACACACTATGATATGTCTCAATTATCTTATGATATTCGTGATAAATTATCAGTAAAGAATATGTATGGAAGTATCGCCGGCCTGTTGACACTATCGACATAACTGAACGTATTTTATAGATGGTCCTCTCTGCCGCAAAATATTAACTCATGTCCGTAATTTTCATACAATATGATTCATCTATTCTTTTAAATTTCGTAGAGAATTGGTATTTGCAAATTAAGTCACGGCGCAAATTTTAAACTAGTAATGACAGGTCGTTTATAACTATTATGTAATGTAAGTTAACAACTCGCTGTTCGCTTTGCGCGAGAACACAAGGTAATGTGAATGGTTTTGATGATTAAATTGACTCCTTGTTCGCTTAACTGCTGTCAATTTCCGCTGGGCGATGCGAAGGGCTTCCCCAATGCTACAACATAAGGCTTCCTCGCTTGAGAACTAGCATCTTGAGAGGCTGAAATGCACCGTATGAGTTCTCAGTTCTCACACCGGTGATTTCTTTGGCAACAATGCGAAAAAATGAAGTGAGAACGTTTTGAGAATTTGATACGAGCCCAATGATTACACTCAAAACATAACACAATGAATATTTACGATGAACACACACAAATCTTCAGATGGGACAATTTCATCCGATGGTAACACGCTTTATGTTTCGGCTGTAAATATCCTATTGTACACTGCGTTTCGTATACCTGGAATCGTGAGGTTTTCAAAAACTGAGGGTTCTGCTAGTACGCGTACTAGCAGGAAACGGCTTTTTTCCAGTTTCCCCTCTCCAGTTACCCTGGAGGGGCGGGAATTTATTTACCTTCGGAATACATATTTCCTGCAGCCGGAGAGGCTTTTGCAGACTGCAAGGGTGGTAACTTAAATAAACTAACTTATACTAACTTAAAACTAATTACATTTTCTCTTTGGGAATTGTTTGTTTTGTTCAATCATATTGATGTTCAGATTAGTTCTTTGTATTGTTCTTATTTCTTCTTTTCTTTTGTTCATTTTCACACGCATTCATTCTTAGGCTATTACAATCCCATTCATTCTTCATACCCACAGCACTATTTACACTATTTACATTGCCTTTTAATCGCCACGGCGCCAACATAACTCAAGCGAGGAAACGGCTCAACTCAGGAGGAGTGATGAAGCAATCTACTCCATTTTCTGCGGAGTATGATTTGCCTCCAAGAACGCCTCGTTTGGAAACTCAGAAAGCTGCAGAACTTGCGTTTTTATATAAACACTTAAAGCTTAGGAATAATTATCGATAATTAAAGATTATCGATGTTGTATAGATCAAATATAGTTATCTTAAAATAAAAATCGTTCTGAACATTTTTTAATTCATATATATATATATATATATAATATATATATATATATATATATAATTATATATATATATAATATATATTATTTATACCCACGTTTTAATGGCGTGTCAGATTCTTAGTTTTTTCATATTACCAAACAAAAATAATATTTATTTCTACAATCTGTAAAAAAATTTTAAATCAGTGATTTAAAAAATTATTCGATTAATCAGTGATTCAAATCAAACGATTTATTCATCATTCAAAACAAACAATTTAAATCAGTCATTCGAACATGGAGTA